GAGGGGGCGGGAGCGCGCATGCGCCGGCGGCCGCCGTGAGGGCGCCCGGCGCCGGGCCGGTGCTTTTCCTCAAGAGCCGGTTTTGGCTCGAGCAGGAGGAAACATAAATCACCTCTTCAAACACCAGAGGAAGGGGAGAAAGGGCACCAGAGAAGTGGGGTTTCTTTTTAAAACGTGTATATTTAGAACTGTAACGCTTACAATTTCATTAAACAATCTTAATACAACGCGTGTCATCTAACAGTATGTTACAGAACAATGTGAAAAATGATTTGATAGTAAACCATGAAAATGGAATTAATTATAGTACCTGCAGTGTCAAAGTCACTAACTTGTTACCTTTTCCAGTCAAAGAATCACAGCAGTCATTCACACTACATGATGCTTTGGGTTTTATCCAGGATAAAACAATATGATTTCCACAGAGAAAGGGCTTTCCTTCACAGAAAGAAGATGCATATACAATAACGTTTTCAACTAGCAGGTCTACTTTATACATCTATTTAGATTTAAAAAAAAAAAAACAACACAAACTAATGTAGGATGCTTGCTTTCAATTTAATTGCCATTCTTTTTGAAAGAGATTTTTTTCTTCCCTGTATAATTTAGCAGAACCTGAGTTTTAAAAAAAATTTACTGAAAATCTGTCTAATGTGCAGTTTCCCCACTTTATATATTTATCTTTACTGACAGATATTTGACAGGGGGACAGTTTTCCTCTGTGGAGTCTCCTGACAATGCAACATTATAGAACTGCAAGTAGAAAAGGTCATTCTCACATTAAATGCACAGTTTTCAATATCAGAAGCAGGACATCAGAAGTTGTAATTTTTCCAGTCACAGGTGAATCTGCAACATTCACAAAAATTACATCTTCTTTTTTTAAACACTCTTTTGTATTTACATGTCAGATATAAATAATGAAATTAAGTTACATGTTTTAACTTTGCTTCACAATTATGCTACATCGGCAAGCTTTCTTATATAAAACCCACCTCTTCCATCATGGCTGCAGAAGACTGGCCTCTAATCAGTAATAATTGCACTAAGCCTTTGTGATGAAAGGTTGATTAAGTGTCACATCACACTGAAATTTTTGCCCCAACTTAAAAATTGGGACAGACAGCCAAGCCACATAAATGCTAATAAAGGAAACTCATCTGGGAACTCAGGAATCCCAATAATCTATCATTAAATTGTAACAGTATCTTTCTTTGGTAAGAACTATGCAAGAGGATGAGCCATCAAAAACAAACACACCCAGCCACCCACCACACATTACGTGACACATCTGCTCAGTGAAGGAGAAAGCCTTAAAAAAGTTACAGAATTTTGTTCAGTTAAGGTTCAGCAATAGTTCTTCCAGGCATTTAAGTACACAAAAGTTGGAAGTTAAATACAAGATTTCAATGATAAGGAAAAACGATGCTTTAAAAAAAAAAAAGTTCTACTACATCAGTGAACAAGTTATTATATGCTTTGTTGTATTTCTGGCACATATGTGGAAAAATCTGTAAATTATTACTTAAAAATCCAAGATGTTGAATAATTATATCATGCAACTGATTAAATTCTAAAATATGTAGGAAGCATGAAAACAGAAAGCTGGCAGCTACTAGACAAAAAGAAGGGTTCAAATATTAGGATTTTTTGTTTTTGTTGCCCTATGATGAGTTGTATTAAGGACCTATTAAACTGAAGAAATTCCCGTTATCCCTTTAAGGCTCAGAATAGAATTTTTTTGCAAAGAGAGGCCACAAATCTCCTGGACACACCAGTTCATGCTGACTTCCTCCCTTCCTCTTAACCCTCCTTCCCATCTTTATCTGTGAATTCCAGAGAAATTGCTATACACATATATACAAAAATACAGAGTTTTTGAGAGCTGGAAAAGGTTTAAAACACTACACATATTTACAAGCTGTGACTTTCACACCATAAAAACACACATTTATTTTATCCTTGATTTTTGGTGCAACTTATACAGACAATACATCAGTTAATTTGTAATTTTATTTAAATAGTCAACCATATGTACATTAAAATTTACAACTGAAAAATAATCAGTTGGTGTGGTATGACTGCAGTTTGCTGGACCAGAAGTGATTTATTTCGAGGACCTTACTCCTTCTCCCATAGCTAGACTGGAAGCAGTGAAGTAAACTTCATTTTAAATGGCATTATTTACTTTCAAAAGACTCTGGAATTAAAGTTTTTTTAAAAAAAAAAAAAAACAAAACCAAAAAAAGGCTCTGCAGCCCGTAACAAGTAAACACTAATTAGGGCAGGGGAAACTGAGAAAAAACAACTTTGGTTAAAAAAAAAAAAAACAAGCTAGCACATAATAAAATGCATCCGATAAGATGTTCATCTGCTCATTTAAGTCTCTAGGGAAAAAAAATGGTCCCATGAGCATTCACTGTATTTACTCACGTGCAATGCCACTGGTTTAAGTTCAAGGGCCATGATCTTCAAAAGGTATGGCAGAAATGAATGGCTTGGGATGTCATATGGGGACATATGTCCAAGCGTTTCTTAGGGTAAGTGTAATTCCTATAAATCAATGCACAGGAGACTATATATATATATATTTTTTTTTTTTTCCCTGAAGACTTCGTTAATCTTTGACATCTTCTAGATGCTATGGGATTAGGAATCGCACCTTATTTTTTCAGAAATTTTGAAGGCTACCCTGGTCCAGAAAACCAGACAGTCGTGTGACTGGAAAGGCACACACGAGTCAATTATAGCCACATTGCAAGGCTTACTGTATGTCAACCTGAAAATTTTTTGTGAACAGAAATTAGGCTTTTTAAAAACAGCAAAACTGGAGGCTGCTCAAGTTACATGAAGGATCAACTGCAGCAAGCGTCTTTACCAGCAGGATGTGATTGAAGGGAGAAAACTCAATAGCTTACACAAAACATACTAAAGTGGCAATATAAACTAGCTGACACAAGCTTCTCTGTACATTTGAATTGATACAATTGTCTGGTGCTTCCATGGCCAGTAAGTGTTGAGTGCCATAGGTCTGGTTAAAGTTAGAATGTTACAGCAAAGACTAATCAAGTCATGACCCTCTAAAGTGCTTTCATATCCAGTTTCTAAAGGTTGTTTTCTTTGTTTTTATATCAAGTTGTCATGTGATATTGACTTCCAGAACATGGTCGTCCTTGCTGGGAATGACAAGTATTTGCATTCCGGTGCTGCAGTTGAAGACCTGACCAGATGAAAAGGATTGTAGACGAGGCATTGGCAAACCTTTGTGCTCCCCACTAGCTGCAGAATGCAAGCTACCTCTGCTCCTTATGCTGCTGCTGTCAGCTTGATCATCCACATTCTTGTCCACAGACAAGTTATCATTCTCAATCCAGCTATCTGTTGAAAACAAAAACCCACAAATTCATTCTATGAAGTGATTAAATGACTTAAAACCATTTCAGAGCTCAGACACACAGTCAATTTACCACATGTAAACAGTTATTCATCATCTCAGCTGAATTAACAGTCTGTGCACACTTTTGGCCAGCAGCAGAAACCAATAAAATTCACACTGTTACATCTAAGGAAAATTTAAGCAGCATTACCTCCCATTTGTCACAGGCTAGAATGGTGCACACTGGCAGTTACCAGAGCTCAGCTGACAAATGGAAAGTTGCTTGCATGAGTGAGCCCCCAGTACAGCTCTGGAGCTGCTCAACAATACAAACGAAGACTCTAGGTAGCTGTAGTAATTTAAACTCTTGATCTAATCTGGTTTACATGCCACAAGTTTTCAGCAGCTCTTCTATTTCCTACTTAATCCTTCCCAAAAACTGGGAAAATGTTTTAAAGTTAAAGACAACCCAGAAGATGCACAATTTACAAACAATGAAACCTCGGGATTATTGAGGGTTATCAAGTGAATTTTCATTTGATTATGAAAAATCAGTTAGCGATAACTAATCACTAGTTATCAACTAGTGTTAACTAATTTATGCAGTAATCTTTAAAAGATATAAGAACGCAATGAGTTTAGTATTCCCTCTCAGAGTAAGGCTACAACCTGAATTCAATATTCCTGTTAGAGCAGCTTTTTGTAAATTTCGAATCAGAACTGCGAAAGAAACTAAAGAACCTCAAAGCACTTGGTTGATACACTTCCTCCCCTTGCTTTCCTCCTAACACAAGGGCATGGAAGAAGCAGAATCATTTCTGTAAGTAGCCACGTAGTCAAGATAGCTTTACCAGCATCAAGTTGCATGGAGTGAGCAGAATGATGAGGGAGGTATTTAAATAATCTGACATCAGGAAAGGGTAAATATCCAGCAAAGAGTGGCATCACTTCCATGTGGACTTTGTGAGTTGCTCGAGGTGCTACAGGCATAGATATCACTCCTGAACTTTTTCCACAGACTGCCCAGTTACTACTGTTGTCAACAACTGCAAGAATAGAGAGAAAATACTATGATGATCTTTTCTGACAATGGAGAGCCCTCAGTATAGTTTTAAAACGTTTTTTAGTTAGTATTTTCACAATATCTGGAAGGCCACAGACTTCTGTACATAAACAGCTGTGCAAAGAAATCAGCGCTACCCAAAAGGGACCAATGCACTTCGGCCTCGAGGAAGCATCTGTCCAGCCCAAACAGTATTTATGTTCTACTTTAGGATAGATTAGTAAGAAAAAACAAACACACACACACACACATATATATATATATATGTTTTCAGACTAATGAAATGCAAACTGCTTTACTGAGCAGCCATACACACAATACAAGACAATGGCCCTGGAAGGTCTGGCACATGTCATTATCAGGACAAAATTACTAGAGAATCTTGCCAACATACTCAAGAGTTAGATCAGAAGAAACATTCTTACCTTCATACATCAGTTTTGTTGTACAATATCCATCTGACTCTGTTAATGCTTCATCTCTGTCAACCTCCAAGAGATCCGCAAGTCGGGTAATTGACACCTCTAAAGAGCAGAGTGAGCCTGTTTTACAATACTCTGCCCCCAACGGGGGAAAAATTTCAGTTTTCACATTATACAATGTCTGTCAGGAAAAAAACAGTGCTGTTATCAAGAAAAAAAGGGGTGTTTTATTGGTGTTTAAATAAAACTGGGCAATTGATACAGTACAAAGTTTAACATCCATATCTTATTACATCTTTTTAAAGCAAGGTTCTGTTATAAGTAACGTTCACTTCATTAACATTGCTCAGTTTGAGCAAATGAGCAAATCAAATCCAATTCAAACAATTGTTTCTGATAGCAGCAATAAACACACATTTTTTCCTTCCATTTCTGTACTTTAACTCTCAAACCTTTTAGTACTTCTAAATGGATACCAATCTTTTTATTATTTAAACTTTAGTTTCCTCACTCCTCACTTTCCAGTCACATTGCTCAAAAAGTGGGTAACACAGGAGAAGAAAATACCTCACTCTTAACATCATAGTTTCCAGAATGAAGGTGTTTGTGTTACAGAACAAATTCTTAATTACTACAAAATTAAATTTCTACAAAAATCATTAACACATTTAGCTCCCCAGAACTAAATCCAGAAAGATACTGAATACAAGTGCCAACAGTTGCTAGCTGCATGTCACTAGGTAAACAAACGCCTACAATTTTGCTCAGTGCCAATTTGTAATAAGCATCAAGAAAAGGATTTAACCATATGAAAGAGTTCATTTTGCTAATTTTTAGCTAAGCATCAAAAAGGACAACACAAGACTGAATTTACAAATGAGATTAAATAAGAGAATTCTTTTAATCGGAAGTTTTATCTAGGCTATAAGCTTCCTAGCTGATCAAAGGAATAAAAAGAAGAAACATTTCAGGTAATGGCCTAAAAAACCCTATATATTTCATTAGAAGAGCTCACCTCAAGCACTACTAAAACGATTCAAATGCTTTCAACAGCAAAGATTTTTGGAAACAGCCATTTGCTTTGGTGATGATGGCTGCCTTAAGCCAGCAGGGCAGAAGGCAGTTCATTAGTCTAAGGAGGGCCTCAATAGCACAAGTATAGGGAGGGGAAAACACAGAAGAATGCCACCAACACCAAAAATCAAAACACGATCAAGGAAATTCTCACAAATTCTTTTTTCTTTTTTTTTTTTTTGATTCCAGTGGTAAGTACACAATTCCACCTCCCCTTTAGTTTTTGGTTCAATAAACTAGCTTTCCAACAATCCTACGTAGGTATCAACCTCATTACATAAACAGAGATTTTCAACATATTTTTGGCTTCTCCCTTTCACATGTGTTAACTGAATGGGGTTTCCTAACATTTGGATATACAAAAGAATGCTTACAAAAAAATTTTCCACTTGGAATTCGTAAGTGAACGGCTTCAGGGTAAGGGACTGTTCTTCAGAGGTAGCTGGACAAAAGCTGACTGAAAACAGGCACTGCAAGGACGGGGGAAGCTCTTTTGTCCATTTCAATTCCCATACAAAGAATATTGATTGCTTACTGTATATGACCTGAAAGAGAATATTTGTTCATAATATCAGCTCCTTCCCTCCTCTCTAAGAAGTAGAAATACATGTTTACATGTGTATGCCTGTTCTGGCATTACTATAGTTTCCTTTTCAGTATAAAATAAATAATCAGTGAAAATACGCAACCAAAACCATTAACTGCTAGTGAAGTCTTTCAATTAGATGGGTACTGTCCAAGACTTAAAGAGAGAAAGATGTTTCACTGTCAGAATCAAAAGTGTTTGAGAAGAATACCTTTCACAAAATAATTATGAAAAATATTTTATTCAAATGTTAAAGGTAAGAAAGAGCTGAAGTGCATATCATTTTGCTAGTCATCAAGAAAGACCAACTTCATACCACATTTAGATTGGGCTCAAAGAAACTTCAGGGAACTGTTTTCTCACTTAACCTGAGTGAGATTTACAGTAGCGTAGCCGTTCCATCTTTTAGTCAGTCATTCTCAAACACGTCCCAAACTGTCTTTAATTACAAGACAGTCCCTTGCCTGTTTTCTTCTCCTATAAGCTAATGACATGCACATTAACTGCAGCTATAGTAAGATCAATAGATTAATGTTACTAACATCACTGTTAACATTACATCTGTATAGCTGTTGCTCAAGTAGGAATGCGGTTCTGTGCAAAAAGCAAAAGGAAGAGTTTGGAAACCTAATCACTTGTGCACGCTTTAGAATTTAATCTGTGATCTGTAGATGTCAATGCTTCCCAGAACATCTTTAAAATTAAAAGTTACTCTCTCAAAAGACTGCAAAAATCTGACAATATATCAATTATCAGCCATACCTATTGCAAAACGTATATGCAGAAATGCTAATAATTTCACTGAGAAGTTCCATATTTAGCTCTTATACCACCAAGAGAGTTTTTACCTGTTGAGATTCAGAGTTCAGAGGTACCAGCTGCAAATCTGCACAACTAGCAGAATTTTTTAGGCTGTTGTCTGAAAGCTGGAAACAGAGCTCTGACAAATTCTGTATACAGACTTGCACATATTTCCTGAAAAACCAAGATACAGCATTTGTTGAATTAAGTAGCAAATTTGAACAATTATGCTTAAAAGAGTACTTGTCCATAGAATTGTATCCAAAGTGCACAAATCAAGTAAAAACAGAATGGCAGGTCATTTATTTTTCTTTCCTCAATAACTATACTTAAGAGAGTGCAGAAATAAGGTTGTAAAATACTCTCTCTCATATTAAATGAAACCAAATAACTACACAGAAATAGTGTAGCTTGATTTATCTTGTGGTCTTATTTCCAAAATGGCCAAAACCACATATTTCTTTTATTGCTAGGAAAGTGCACCAGAGGAAATAAATAAGCTTCCAGTGGGAAGGTGCAAGACAACAAAGCCTCAACTAAAAAAAAAAAAAAAAAAAATAAGAGAGAGAGAGACTGACTAAAAATATTACTTATGAAACTCAACCTTCCTAGTTTGTAAGAGGAAAGCAACAATAAATACTTAATGAGTACATTACCGTTTGCCAGTTGACAATAAGGAATGCTTGGCATTAAAAGGTATGCAGAATGTTAATGCAATAATAGTGGAGTATATTGACCAAGGACAATCAATGGTCACCTAAAGGAAAAAGGGAACACAGTTCTTAGTTGTTGGCATAACGCTTTACTTTTCTCCTCATTTCAAAACCAAAGATTTCTCAACAAGTGTCTAGATCTAATCACGCATCCAGAAGGAGTGGGGGACACGGTCAAAACTGAATCTGACAGAACAGTAGTATTTCGTTTTCTTGTGAGCTAATATGAAACCCAGAAGAAACTTTTCTGTGGAAACTGATCACACCTACTTCTGAAGATCACAAATGTCAAAAACAGATAGGAAGGAGAATACAAGAAAGAAAAGAGGACAGTGACAACACCAACAGCATCTGAATGCTGGATAAAATGTCAGTATAAAATAAATTGCTATTAAGACATATTACTGCAATATCTTTATAATACTTCAATATATGAAAGTATAAGCTTAACATTGATTTATATATATAAATCAAACATATTTGTTTCAGCTTTAAGCAGCACACTTAACTAGAGAATTTCACCCTGATTGGTGCCATTGCTTCCAATCGTAAAGCATGCACACTAAGCAACATTTTTATATGCAGAGAAAGATCACATGTTTTAGTAACGTTTCTGTTTTAGCAATGTCAGCCTATAGCTGCACATCTTTTTCCTGCTCTTCACACACAAGGATACAGAGCAGTACGCTTCAATCAATTTTAGCGAGGAGTAACCCTGTGAAAGGTGATGATTCCACGTTTATTTTGCTGTTAACTAAAGAGCGTCTTTACAGTGCTTATTTTATTCACCCTCTCTAGCAAAAATTAAGAGAAAAACTTACCTCCAACCAAAGCACGTGGCAGCTTTAAACTCTATACTGTACTGCCCAAGTACGGCGTACAGATGCTCTACAAGTGGAGGAAACATCCTTCCCATGAGTCAGAAGGGAGGATCTCAGTCATGACCCTTTTAAAGACACCATCCCACTTTTCACAAAGACAGGAGTATCCTTCATCCTATACAAACTATGAGTGCTGGAACACCAAAACTCTTAAAAGGGCTACTCAAAACTCTCTAGAGGGCTAACCAGTGGAACAGCTGGCCATATATTAAGTACAATGTATATTTTTGCTCATCTATTCTTCACATTTATAACATTTGGTATGATTTTTGCATTTATATCCATTAAATCAAGTCTATGCAACCAGTTTCCCCAACACTGCAACTTATATTTTGTTGAGTGTATGCCCCTGTGATCAAATCAATCTCAATGTCAAAAGTCACCTTACTTTTTGGTCAACAGTAGCCATGTGGTTGTCCAGTTTCTGCTTCTCTCTATTTTTCCTATGAACTTCTTTATTTACAGTATTTTCTCTCTCCACTGCAAATTCTGGGGTTGATGGCAAATATATGACTTCTAATTCAAACTCAATCACATGATATGCTGGAGTCACTGGCAAACTGATGCTCGTGATCTTTTCAGAAGACTGAATCCTTAATGACGATTCCGAGATCTTTTCTGTAGTTGTGCAGAATGGGGAAAAAATGGTTTAGAACTGTTCATCCCTTCCCAATTTTCATTTAAATCTGTAATTAAGTAAAAAAAAAAAATTACCCTGAAGAGCTAAACGCAATAGAAAATAGGTGGCACTATAAGCATCTACTAGCAAGATCTCCATTCTTGCAAAATCAGCAACCAGAAACCACGCTACCTAACTCCACATTAATCTCCTCAAACGAGCTATAATCTTCACATCTTCAATACCCCTGCTATTCACAATTTCCCACTGGCAATGCTCTACTCTTCTCAAAGACCGCAGGAAGGTAACCAACACATTCAGTTTAGTAGTCTCTTCCAATATGCAAGAAAGCTTCAAAGATAACAATTTGATACCAAGATTCAAAGTAGATAAAGAGCTACTTTAGTTTGTCATCTGGCACATATTGCCATTTTTACATCACCCTGTAGCTTCTTAGTCTCACAATTCCATTTCACAAACAAACTTACCACTTACTAAAACATACACATCGGTATTTTTGATTAGTAATCATGTATTTTTAAAATACTATATATAGGATGCCTCTGTACATCCTACTTCAATTAATCTCTACTTTATTAAGTCTATTAACACTGCTCTCTCCATTTATGTAAAAACTACTGTACACCTGGAGCAACTGAGAAGACAGTACACTACCCAAGCTCACCAGGATGCCATCGGCATAAATTGAACTCTGTCTGAAGAAAATAGTTCATTTACATAGAGCACTACATAAAAACCTACCTAGATTACTTTACAGTAGAAATAGTCTAGTTAAAACATAGCCTGCATAGGAATAGAAGATCACCATAACTCACTTGGAAACCACAAAAGATGCTCATCTCAACAGTTGCTTCCTCTCCATAGCTATCGACCTTCACTCATGAAAGTGAAAATTGTCCCGCTGTCTGCTGAAAGTTCATGCTACTGCTTTATTAGGGGTGAAAGTTTAAGACCTTTCTAGCACCGAAGTGCTGACTTGCAAGTCCCTCAATAGCTTCAGTTAACAATGGCTACCCAAAGACAGTATCAGCATTCTTAACACTAATAACTACAGTTTTACTTCAGGGTTACTGAATTTTTGATTCGTTAAAGAGTTCATTTTCACTCCACTGCTTACCTCTTGTGTTGGAATAGATGACTGCCTTGCTCTCTGGATGGTACAGAATAGGCATGGCATCAGCATTACTGAGCTGCAAAGTATCCCCACTCTTCATGGTGTAATGACCAGTAATTACTGTGAATTTCACCTTCTGTGGTATGCCAGCCAAAAGGCTATCTGAAGGAAAAAAACAGATATTGTTAATGTATTCCAAAAGTCCTTATTCGATGGTGACAATATGCCGCTGATGCTTGCGAGCAAGCAAGTATTCCCAGGCAGTTTCTCATGCACATTAGGGTAACTTAAAAGTTTTGGGTTTTGATGTTATGCAACGTGTTAAGCCATCCAAGAGCTAATTTCAGTCACTTGACTTGAGACAACCTTTTTCTCCATGCTGATGTACCTGAGCTAGGTTTAGATTAGCTTGCTCACATACTGCATATGGCACAGTACATTCTGTGCTGTTTCCAGCAGCATAGAACTCGGTGAAAGATATTGCCAAGCTTTTTAAGTTCTGCAGGTTGTGGACAGCTTTGTATTTCTCCACCTATGATGCCAGTCACCCTCACATGCTGTACTTACATAATTAAGATTACTAGAATGCCAATATGCACCCAGATTCAAAAAGATCTGAATCATAACCATCAATTTTACAGGGGCAGCTAACTCGATTAACTCCCCTCTCCCCAGTATGCTTGTCCTTCCTTTGCCACACGTTGCAATGCCTGTACCTGGAATGGCTGCACAGAATGCATTATCAGCTCCTCTACTACCTCAATTTATAGCTACAGATCAAAAATCACTATTTACTTCAGGTAATACGCTATAACAAATGCTACAACAGGTAGTACTCAACTGACCACAAACGCAATGGGTAACCTAAAATTTTGAAATCTGTACTGAGTGTATCACCTCTAGAAGAAAAACTCATTTCTCATGACTTTTTTTTTTTTTTAAAGTACCAAAGAGACTGCAGTGTCACAAAATTAGCCAACAAGAAGTTCAGTCAATTATGAATTAAAATATTCACTTACAATCTACGTAGGAGGCCAATTCATGCCCGATATTTAAGTGACACTACATCTTCAAATTTGAGCTGAACTCTGAAATTAGTTGTTGAATACTATCATTGACACAGCATACTTGATTGGTAATTTGAAAAATAAGAGTTTATTTTCAACTTCTAGCTCAAAGTTAAGAGCAAGGCAAAATTATTCTCAATAAAATTCAAGATGAAAAACATTTTATCTACTCCTGTGATAAAAGAGAGAATACAACTGCAGTGTAACAACTGTACGTACCAGTCATCGGTTCCACTTTTAGCTGAGGCTCCTGAGAATATACATCATACTGCACAATTGGGTATATATGAAGAAGGACAAATTGTACTTTTCCCACTGAAGTGCACAGCTGCCTGAGCGTGTATGTCCCAGGTTCTTTGGCCTTGGAAGTAAACATTTGAATGGATTTTTCAATTTAGCAAGCACTTTTAGAACAAACCCTCTACTAAGAGATAAGCAGGTTTCTCAGCTCATTTCTAACAGATAATTTGTTTTTTTTATTAATTAAAAAAAAAATTATTCTGGGAATAAGTCACAAAATTTTCCACCACGGATCACCTTTTCCCCCCATTAAGATATAAGGTCTAGAGTGCTGGCTGATTCAAGAACAAGTGTCATGTTAATTCACATATATCAATAATCACAGTAACTAATACAGTAACTCCCCTGACAAACTGTTGCTCTTTGGGTGTTTGTTTTCCTCCAAGTGCCACACGCATTAAAATATAATCATATTTATTAGCTACTGAAATTATATTTAGCAAGCAGCCGCAAAGAGCTTATTTGGCTGACATTCATAAAATACCACAACATTTGTGTAAGGCACAGCCTTCAGCTCATGATAAGCCTACTGATTTTATAGGCTTCTCCCCCAGCCCCAATGCAAATTATTACAAAAAGAACTACACATTTAACTTCAACCTCTTCCCTTACTCTTAATAAGGATATTCTAGAAGTTTTAAAGATAACAATATTATAAAAAGCAAAACCATAACACTATCATCCACTAGTATATTTATTCTTTCTTTCCGTTAGGAGAGGCTGCAAGTCAGGACTGAAGTGCATCAAAGGAGCCCTGCTGGGAATCTGGGACTAGAACAGGTGGCGTGTCAGAAGCAAAGGCCAAAGTGTGGCAAAGAGGCAACGGGCAGAAACTGAACCACGGGCAGTTCCACCTAAACCTGAGGAAAAACTTCTTCACTGTGAGGGTGACAGAGCATTGGAACAGGTTGCCCAGAGAGGCTGTGGAGTCTCCTTCGCTGGAGATATTCAAAACCCGTCTGGATGTGATCCTGGGAAATATGCTCTAGGTGACCCTGCTTGAGCAAGGAGGTTGGACTAGATGATCTCCAGAGGTCCCTTCCAACCCAAACGATTCTGTGATTCTGAGATCCTATTTGCTCTTAGCTACTACTGCTAGGGAATGGGCACTATTTTCTTTTTCCGTGGGCCATCTGATGAAGTGTCACTAGTAGCATGTAAATGTTGATTCTGGGCAGAATCAAATCCAAAGAACAGGATTAAAGGCTAGGGAGAACAGCTGGAACAACTTAACATTCAAACCTCACTTAAACATAGTTATTTACAAGCAAATGCAACTGAAATTCAGTATTATGTATTTTGAAATTACTGACACTAAGTTTCATCTCCCTCGAATGCCTTCTTAATAGAAAAGCACAAATGAAGTCTTTCATACATACATTGTTCAAACATCAGCATGCGATGGAAATACTAGCCTGAAGAACTTACATATTACTTTATCATCTGCTTTAAAGCTTGAATAAAGACAATGAAAGGGATTAAATTTGAAAGGTCACTATCAGTTAGCATAAATAATGCTAAACATCAGCCTAAGACCACCAGAAAGAATCAAATTCCCTCTGCATCTTAGGAGCACAGTCATTCCGCTTTCTGTGGAAGCGGTGCAATTAAGCATTATTCCAGCAAAATTTAGAAAAAAAATTCTATTCTCTGGACAGCTCTGTAATCCAACACAGTTAGGTTTCCTTGAGATCTAGTTCTATAAACACATTTATTTGTACAGAAAACTACATCTGCAGCCACCAGACCTCTAACACCTCCAAATCCCATTAGCTCGTCCCAGTCCTTTGGGAGAATCAGAAACCTGAACAAACGAGGCCAGGAGATAGACAGTTCTAATGACAAGACCGCTAGTTCCTATTGTGTCAACAGGGACTTGAACTGAACCTCCTTGAGATACCCGCTATGCACAAAAGCTCCGCAGCATGAGCGCGCACATGTAAGCGGCACATCTCTCTAGCGCTCTCTGCCCCACTGCTGGAGGAACAGAAAGCAGAGCACGTCAACCTGCAGAAACTTCATTTGGCTTCACACTAAACAAAGCTCTACGGCAAGATGAAAATTAATAAAAAAGGAGAAGGTTAACATCTCTGAAATGGAATAGCTAAAATATGCTAAGGCGGCTGAAAGAAACCTCCTGGCCAGCACTGCCAAGCTATCAATTTTTGGTCAAAAGCAGACATGAAGATTCTCATTTCAAAATGAGTTTCATAAAAGGGAGCAAAAGCTAACATTAAAGCAACCAGAAAATGCCAAAGCTAGCAGGCATATTATAACATATATGACCAAAAAAATATTTTTATTTCTTCATCGAATCCATACCCCTTCAAACATATACGATGGATAGTGCTAGGAAAAATGAAGCCGCTATGGTACAGCTGTTACATTCATCATTGTGCTGTCCCATCTCTCGTTAATCTTTCAGATGCAACACTGAGTTCCTTGGAATTTTCTCACTTAAGTTTTCTCCACACCAAGGTGCACTACTGTAATACTGAACTCTACTAAATACCTTCCTAAAAAGGGTTATAGAGGAGGGAAACAGAAGTACCCTCCCCCCAACAAAAAAGGAAAAAGATCAAGCAATAAAGAAGAGAAAAGACAATCGTGGCCAAAATCTCCTACTGCTAGACTTCCAAATAGATGCTGAAGTCTCACTTCTGAGAATGCTTGGCATTTCAGTTACTAGAACTAAGTCACCAGGTACACGCTTTTCCCCATTTCATAAATAATAATAATAAAATAGATGAGCAAAGCACAAGACCACATAATTAAGTGGTAAAAATCAGGACTGGTACTCAGGGTCTGCATAGTAACTGGAAATCAGCAATCAGTCCTCATGTTCACACTACATTACTACTAGAATCGCTGAGCGATACTATCCTCACACGTTTTGGCAACTATTGGGAGTTCTTAATTTGCTGAGGAGGAGAAGTGGAGAGAAAGAAGGAAAAAAGAAAGAAAGAGAACATTACTTCAAAAGATTAAGCTGAACAAGAAAGCACGCATAAGTGGGCGTTTGCAGGAGTTTCACAGCACCACCATGTGGCAAAAGCAGATCTCTAACTCCATTTTCCAAAGGCGGCATTTAGATGCTTACTCCCCGTTTTCATAGGTATTTGCCTCCATTATTTATCTTAATCTTCCATAACGAAGGGAAATGCAACATAAAGACTCACTGCTACAGGAAAGATTAAATTTGTATGAGTAACCGTAACTCCAACATCTTCTAGATTCAGATACTCAAACTTCAGTTTACTTTGCCAACTTTTTTGCATGTAGAAGGTGTACTATAGCTGCTAAACAAAGTATATTCTACCTTTCCCTA